CCCCCCCCCCCCCCCCACTTTGTAAACCCTGCTACACCACTGAAGCGTGGATATGCTAAGCATTGTGCTTTAACTGATTTTTGCTTGATCTTTACTACAGATCGTTATTCTTAAACGCAGACTGAACAAGTTTACATACTACAAGATAGTGCCGTGTAAATTCGCTATGACTTTGGAACTCGAAATTCAACCTTCGTGTTCATCAGCGATCAAAAACGTTTGCTAATAAGAATTTAGATATTTTTTTAATTAGCCAATCAGATAGCTTGAACACGAGCGCTTAGCTGATGCACAAATCGATCAGAATTCGCCACATATCGATCAAAAATGGAGAATGGAGATGATCACATTGGATCAAACTGCAGAGCGAGCAAAACAGACGCGGAAGATCGCTGTTTTGTGATTTCGTATCACACGCGTAAAATTATAAGCCTGCTGTTTAGCAGGATTGGACAATGTTGTGCTGCCCACATTGTTCACACTTGTCAACAATATCGAAATACGTTGTTGAGCCTGAATCCGGGTGCAACAATATTGTTCAATATTGTTGGCAATAGTGAACAATGCGCGCAGCACAACATTGTTCAATCCTGTTCACATCAATATTGCAACAACCTGATCGTTTTTAGCTGTGTACTTTAGTGAAGGCTTTGCCGCTGTATAAAATATAAGAACTGGACCTGTTGAACACAATTTTAAGGCTTTGTCGCTGTACGAAATATGATAACTGGACCACAATTTGAATTAATTTAACTAACTGCGCAATATTCGTATATATTCACGCTATACCGTAGTATGGCAAAAATATACACAAATATTGCGCAGAATAAATTGAATTTATTGGAATATATTGAATTTTTCACCGTCGTTGTGCATGCGCAATTATATAACATGAATAACAAAATCTAATTAGACCTTTAGCGATGTCACGCAATATATATCCAGTCAACAGCTAAACGTTTGTCTGTCTAATAACACAAATAAATAAATATGGATTAAGGTATCATTAGCGCAAAATATTCGGTGCATACACTATTAATATATACTGTAGGTATGTTACTTTACATTCTGTGAACTTTGATTTGATGTATAATTTGATTTGTAACGCTTCCTAAAATGTTTTGAAATGTTCACTCAACCAAACTGCTTTTGCTAATAAACTGTTGAACGAACAAAATAAGTTCAAATTATTGAGTAATTTCAGTCGTTGTCGAATTTAATTTACTCTCCCTTTTATTTTAAGTTTTTTCTTAAACTAAAAAGGCTAATTTAGGAAATTTACAACTACAAGTTGAAAAGGAACCAGTGCATTGTTTAACTCAATAAAATAAAGCAACAAAGTTCATTACATTAAACATTCAAAACAAACTATATTTCATGATTTCCAATAGGAATTAAATCATTTTTTTATATCTTCAAAGACGAATTTCCAAATACATGTTTTTGAAAATTTAAATCTTGCTAGTTGTGGCGGACTTCATGCAAACAGTCATATTTTTTAGATCAGTACAAGTGAAGTTGTCTGTGATATATTGCGCATGCGCTTTGGGCGTTTGAGGAACATGTGCGAGAGCGATAAAGCAAAGGTTGTTATTCAGTTTTCTAAGGACATTAAAAGTTGAGTTTGAGTTGTATAACAGTGCATTTCTGAGGATATAACAATTGGCGACGAGCATGGGATTTCAATAAAGGATTCTGGTATATTTTCTTGCTGAACGAACGAGTTTAAAACGGTAATTTAGTGGATTTTAATTCTGTGCGAGTACAATTTAATAGTATGTCTTCGACGCCATTATTCGGCGTTCTGGGGGAATTTGATCCGTCTACCGAGTTGTTTACTGCATATTCGGAGAGATTAGAGCAATATTTTATCGCTAATTCTATCGAGCAATGTCCTGCTGATGCTGCACAAGTAGTACATGCGGCTACAGTCAAGAAAAAAATTGCGGTATTTATTTCAGTTATTGGAAAGAAATCTTACGCAACCCTTCGTGATTTGTGCAGTCCTGATTCACCGAAAGATAAAAGTTTTTCTGAGCTTTGTGAAATGTTACGTACTCATTACAAACCGAAACGTTTGGTTGTAGCTGAAACTTATAGATTTCATCGGTGTATTCAAGAAGAAAATGAAAATGTTTCTGATTACAGTGCACGTTTGCGACATTATGCTTCCACTTGTGACTTTGGTCAGTTCTTAAACCGTTCTCTGCGTGATCAATTTATATGCGGAATTCGTAATTCAGCTACTCGGAAAAAGTTACTAAATGAAGACCGTACTTTTCAAGATGTGTTAAAAGTGGCCATAGCTGATGAAGTTGCTAGAAGGAGACTTTAGCATTTCAAAACAATACGAAACCAGTGAACGAATCTGTGCATACTGTGGGTAGAAATCAAATTCCTGATAAGTTTTCAAATAGCAGGGATACATCAAATTCCAATAACCTAAGACCACCATTGCCTACCGCCCAGAAATTTTCATATGCCTGTTATTCCTGTGGAGGTACAGAACATTCTCGGGCCCAGTGTAGATTTAGAAATGTTGTATGCAGCCGATGTAAGCGGACTGGTCACATTGCCCGTGTTTGCAAGAGAGGTAACATGCAAAATAACTTTGTCGAACAGAAACTGAGTTCAGATGATGTGTTTCTTGAGGAAGAATTATTTACGGTTTTTGATGTTAACTCCCTATACAAATCAGAAATTTCCGTACCCTTGAAAATTGAGAATCAAGAGCGTTCCTTACAATTAGATACTGGTTGTGCATTGTCCTTGGCCCCCCAAACCTTCTATGAGCAATTTTGTTCCCATATCCCTTTAAAACCTACCGCAGTGAGATTATCTTCCTATACCGGTGAAAAGATTCAACCTTTGGGACAAATCAATGTTAATGTTACTTATGCTGGAACTCAGCACTCTCTTCCATTACTGGTAGTACCACAGGGCTCTGGTGTCTTATTTGGAAGAAACTGGCTAAGGTGTATAAAGCTAGATTGGAACAATTTGCCTGGAATTGAGTTACCGTCATTTACTACCACAGCTATATGCTCCAAGATTTCTGAAAATAAGAATACATTGGACTCACTCCTATCAAAATATGATGAACCGTTTCAACCTCAAATTGGGTGTTACACTGGTGATGCTGTAGTTCTCAATGAAAGTAAGGGAGCTAAATTCCATAAAGCACGTCCAGTTCCGTATGCAATACAGACAAGAGTTGAAAGTGCTCTACTAAAAATGGAAAAAGATGGTGTCATTGAGAGGGTTTC